CAATAAACATTGTCGAAGAGTGAAGGTAGATGAATTATACATGATAAATTATCATATGTTTAGGTTTTATTCAATTTAATCATCAAAAACAATGAACATTGCAAAGAGTAAGGGAGATGAATTTACATGTATGAATTCACTTTCATCATATGTTTATTTTATTCCAATTCTAATCATCATTTTTAAAACAATGAACATTGCCAAAGAGTGAAGGAGATAAAAGATAAATTCACTTTCATCATATGTTTAAAAAATTTTTTAAAACAATGAACATTGCCGAAGAGTAAAGATAGTTAAAAAAATTTTTCCTTTCGATACTCCATCTTTTTGCAGGTACAAAGGCCCATGTTTGCCTTTTTTCTTTTAATGTCTGAATAGGAAAAATAAAATTTTATTTGTTCTTGAGAATTCACAAGAAAAATACTAAAGACTTTTATTTTCTGTGGTAGACTGATTGCCAACGAAGGCTATAGGACTCAGGGGGAGAGAAAAAATAGTTTCATGCCTTTCCCAAGGGTATTTACATGGAAGTGAATGCAACAAATCCAACTGGCAATTGAACTCGGCTCTCCACTTTTTCATTCGAAGCCAATATCCATTACACCATCTGCATGTCCAAAAATTTCAACAAGCTGAGCTCCATGAAAGAAAGGTAATGTTATTTGTGTGTGGTGGGCTCATTGCAGTATTATTTATTTGGAGTTCTTAGAATGCAATGAAACACTAAATGCACCTTTATATGTCAAGCAGCTGCAACATGTCCATAAAAAGTTTCATTGCGAAACACCCTGCTCTCTTCAGTACAAAAAAAAATGTTCTCCACCAAAGCACAAGGCTGTTTAGAGCAAGAACAACACATAAAAGATTTTTGGAACTTGGTTGGTCTGCTCTACCCAACCTGCCATTTTCACCTGACCTTGCAATGAGTGTTACTTTTTTTTTTTCGATCACTTCAAAAAAAAAAAAAAAATACTTTTTTGGGGAGAAAACTTTCTCTAACAAAAACCAGATGCAACAGTTTGTCAAAATTTTTTTTGCATCATAACCTGTGGGATTTTACTGAAAATATATCAAAGTTTGGCCCTTATAAATCACAGTGAATATAGAATTGAATCAAATGTAAACTTTAGTTTTTTAAAGAATAAAGTTGATAAACAAATATGGAAATTATTTATAACTCAACATAATCGTAAATTCTGTCAATATTTCTGAGATGAGGTCTTGTAACTATTTATGCTATTTACATTGTTTGGACTGTTGTCCTAATCTTTATTGCTATATTCACAACATTTCGGCCATTGTAGATTCCGGCCTCCTTCAAGATTTGTCTATATGTCTGAGATGAAGTATTGCAACTATTTATTTTGTGAATATGACAATAAAGATGAGGACAACAGTTCAAATAATGTAAAGTTAGAATACCTCATCCCAGAAATAGACAGATCCTGAAGAATGTCGAAGCATGCAGCAGTTGAAACGTCATGAATATAACAATAAAGATGACGACAGTAGTCTGAACAATGTAAACAGTGTAAACTAATTGTAAATTGTTTAACACTTTTTCAAATTTCCTTACAAGGTTCTTTGCAACTGTTTTGATTGATAATGAAATGGTATGAATGAGAATTTTATGCCTTGACTTCCTTATGTTTAACAAACACTAACACGCTTGACATTATTTGTGTTTTAGTTTTGATCTTTGCTCAAGTAGCCTTGTGCCAGACTTAGTCAAGATCAATTAACTACAGTATTTTCTAGTGTCTAATATGACTTGAGTATATACACGGGTCATGTTTCTGAAGCTAAAAACACAATAAATTACATCCTTGAGTAATATGACCCTTCATTAACATTTAGCAGTCAGCATCATTTATAAATATTACTTCCCCTTCTACTGTATATAGAATCCCCTCAAAATAGAATGTTTTATATATTAGTTCTATATATTTGAAATTGCAGTAGCCTGGCTCTCAATTTCAGTCAAGATTGTTTTAGGTGTTGCCATAGAAGGATATGACTACACAAACAAGAAATTAAAATTTAACATTGGCAGGACTAACATTTTGCTTGGTGGAAATGGTCACCTACAGAGTGCTAATGTTTAAAATCTCAATGTTGTGCCTATATTTCACTAAAATATTTAATTTGATGCAAAGAGTTGTGAGTTCAATACCTGGCTACTGCAGTGGGGTTACAAAAACTTGGAGAGTTATATTAAAGGAAAATAACTCGGACATCCAGAAGAGGTATGGCATGTGGAACTAGAACTGGTGAACGAAATAAAGTGTTCGGTTTGAAATTCTAATCACCTGAAGAAGGCTGGAGCATACAACGACCAAAGAATTTAATTAGTGTTGTCTTTTAAATGTTTTCTTCTTTTAATTGTAAATTCCTTTTTGTCAATTCATGAATTGAAATTAGTTGGCATTTGCTTTACATCTTTTTTTTTTTTTTTTTTTACACATTTTTCATTGGGACTCACGAGTCTTGGAGGGTATTCCAGAACAGAAGTCAGTAAAAAAAATCTTTATTATCTAATCCAAAGTGCTGATTGACCGCTATAGAACGGTGACAAAATAAGTACAGTGTAACCCGGATATAAGAGAAACCCGGATATAAGAGAGATTTTCTCTGGTCCCAAATTAGTCTGTGTTAATGTACATATAGTAAAACCCGGATATAAGAGACTTCTTCTCCGGTCCCGACAACTCTCTTATATCCGGGTTACACTGTATTATTTACTACGAGCGATTCTGCAACGCTTGTTTTTACTTGATATGACTTTATCCGAGATTTTAATTAAGTGAGAGTACTGTTCAGATTCAAGGAAGGAAAGGCAGCTGTAGCAAGCGTAACATTTTTTTTATAAAACTAAAAGAGAGTTTGTAACATTGATTCGTTTTTATTTAAGTGTATATTGAATATGTACAAAAAATAATTGACAACTAATAGTAATGAAAAAATTTGTGCTAAAAACAAATGTTGTCTTTTGTGAAAACAAACTAAGACACGTTTATGAAATGTTTAAAAATTTCTGAAAGTTATAAATTTATCATTCGTCCATTGTTAGATCTTCCTGAATTTCACTGTGTTCGTCATTAATAATTAATATTCGAGATGTTTGGGTACTGTTCTGATTCAAGGAAGAAGGCTTCATGTCAATACAAAAGTTAGGATTTGAGGACGAGTCCAAATTCTAGGAAGTCTATGCTATGTTCGGATTTGGGGAGTTCTACTACAGTGTAACCCGCATATAAGAGAGATTTTCTCTGGTCCCAAATTAGAGCCTGTGTTACCTAAACAAAATAGACCAAACCCGGATATAAGAGACTTCTTCTCCGGTCCCGACAACTCTCTTATATCCGGGTTACACTGAAAACAAAACAAAAAAAAAAAAAAAACATTGTCTTTTATTCAGAATGAAGAAAGAAAACTTACTACAAAACAAGAAAATCAAAATAAAGCAAACTTTAACTTGTGAGCAAAAAAACAGACAAAATGGCGATCAATTAAAAGCTGACCCCCAAAGAACAATTATGACCTATATATGAAATAAATTTTTTTTTTTTTTTTTGGTAAACAATTGTATTCAACACCTGCCGACTTTGTGTTTTATTATCTATTTACTTTTTTTAGTCATTCTGTTGCGGTAATCAGCACTTTGGATTGGATAGTAAATATTTTTACTACTGGCTCCTGGAATAGTTACCCGCAACAATTATTGCAGACTGATTGTGAGTCCCAATAAAAAAATAAAAAAAAATAACACACACACACGCAAAAAAAGATATAAAAGAAACGACTTATTTCATGCATTGACAAAAAAGAAAACTTTTAAAGACTAACACTTTTCTTCGGACTGTTGTCCTCATCTTTGTTGCCATATTCACGAGTCACGACGTTTCGGCCGTTGTACACTGAGGCCTTCTTCAGGTGATGAGAACTTCGAACTGAACCCTTTAACTGAGTGTATTTGCAATTTTGCTCTTTTAAATAAGAAGAGGTGTATTAAGCTGAGTAAAAGTTTCTGAACGTGTGCTACTGTACGACTACGACCCTCCCATTTTTTTTTTTACCTTGAATTTCAAATTTTCAATGTTAAATTTTTGTTTCTTCTTATGAGATTTTTATAAGAAAAGTCTCATAATAAATACTATTTTTATGAGATTGGTACGGTGTCCACTTTTAGTAGAAGAGGTTGTCCCCCTCCCCGCCGGGTTTTTTTGTCCCCCATTCATAAGAATCAACCTTAACGAACCCCAACAAAAATTCTTATTTCTTTAATCTTTTTCTCTTCCTTTATAGAGGAATCAAACAAAAATCTCATTTTTAAAAGTTTAGAATTGGAGTTAAAATTTATTAGTTTTTGCTTTTTAATATATTTTAATTTTCTACAAACAAATTTTGATTTTTTCGAAATATATTTCCACTCAAGCGGTTGCTTCTTTTTTCTCTGAGAAACTAACTACTCACTCCATTGTTTGAGCATGAAAAATAGATACATGAAATATCAACAAAAAAATATTTTCAGGAATTATAACTTTGTGATTGTAACTCAGATCATTTTTAGCCCGTCATAAGCAGACCAACAATTAGTATTGATCATAGATGACTGCTACTACAGTGCTTTTTGATCTATCAGCAACAAAAAGTAATGAAATTATGAAGGGTTTAAATTAAATCCTTCATAATTCTGAAGAATTTAATAATTAAATCATTTAATTATTAAATTCTTCAGAATTTCACTTCCTCCAAAAAGCCATTGTTGATGAATTACTAAGCTGCGGTGATATTTTCTTTTTAAAATGTTTCATCAATCTCCACTATTTTATGGACCTCCAATTTACTTACGGTTGATTTTTTTTTTTTTTTTTAACTGAACATCACTTCCCTTAGGGGAATCGCCCCTACCCCAAATCTTTCATTTTTATTTCTGACCTTAAAGAGGAATCAGTTAGAAATTAAAAAATACTTCATTTTTTTTATCTCTTCTTTTACAGAGGAATCGGCTGAAACAGAACCTGCTTGGCAGAACGCCGGCAAAAAAGTTGGCCTCCAAATCTGGCGTATTGAGGTAAGAAGACGTTTTTGGGGTTGCTTTCAATACAAAAATGAACTTGCTGTAAAATTTTAAGCCATTTTAACAATAAGAAAAGATCATTACTTTACAAATTTTTAGACGGAATCACAGATTCTGCCAAACTTTTTTTTCGGTGTATTGGTGGAGCGAGGTAATGGTAATTAGATTTTTTTTCCTTATAAGGAAATATTTGGCAGCATTCATTGACCGAGGAACCGGCATGGCTTTCAGTTGAAATTTATAAAATCTTTCTCTTAAAAGATTTTTTTTCAGGAAAATAGTTTTCTCAAGTCCAGAAGCTTTTATTGCTCTTTCCTATACTGATGAGGATTTCCTTTCCCACCTTTTGTTTGAAGCGGTGTGGAATGTCAACATCTTGATTATGATATTATTTTCTCTTAGAGTTTCATGTGTTTTATCCATTTTAAAATAAAAGATATTTGAATTTTGAATAGAAAGAAAGGATCGTGAATGAAAGCATTAAATATCCCAACGATAACATCCAGTTTTAATTCTAAAATTAAAATAAAAAATCTAAAAATTCTAGGTTTATAAAAATGTCCACTGAGGAATATTAATGTAGGTTTGCTAAAAAATCACTATTAAGTATAGATTTATAAAAATCTAGTATTAATCATAAAAATTAAGATAAATTTTTTTATATAAATTCCAGGTCTGTAAAAAGATCAATTAATTTACATAAAAAAATTCTGTGGCTTCCGTTAGTCTTTCCGTCCGTCACACCCTCTGAAAATAGCCATACATTGACCAATTGAAACCAAATTTTGGGAAGGAGTGCAAACGAATAAAGAGGTAAAAAGTACAGTTGCTTTACAAGTCATATCATGTAATTTTAATTTTATTAAGAAACTACTTTTTTTATGTACAAGAATCCAGTTTCCAGTTCACCCTGTGTTTTCGAGAACTATAAACAAATCACATGGCAAAAGCACTTCAAAAAATTGGAATTTCACTCCAGAAAGAAATATTTATGCATAGTCAGTTGTATGTGGCATGTTCAAGAGTAAGAAATCTATTAAGAATTTATTCTTTGCTATTAAAAAGGAAGGAAAAGAAATTTTCTTTAAAAATATTATTTAAAATGAAGTCCTATAAAATTAAATTAAAAAAGAAATTATTAAACCACAAAGTAGGGTTTTTTACAAAGTACTTTTCCTAATTTCATTGAATGGTTTGTGAAATTGGACGAAATGTAGAGTTTGTAAATCTCAACAAAAAATGTTAGCAATAACTTCAACAATACTAAATACTGCGAGGATTTCAGCATGTATCAGAATGTTCCAGATTTTATAGAACCATCTTGATGGAATGGATTAAAAAAAATACATGAAAAGGTGGGAAATCTACCCTGAACTTTCCTTAAAAAGCCTTTCACAAAATGGTTTCTAATTAAACATTGATTTTTTTCCCCCCTTATATTCTTTGACTCTAAATTCAGACAATACTCATGAAATAACATATGTTCGCTAAGATCGCACAAGTTGTAACATTCAAACTTACCAGCGATGTCTCCTCAGATGAATTTCGTAACTCTTGCAGCCTGGTAAAAAAAAAAAAAAAAAATCCAATATAGATAAAGGGAGGTAACTCTAAAAGAAATGGTCGCTATCTAGATTCAATTCGAAACAAAAGTTATGGTTGGTTTTGTTTGTCATGTTTCGTTACCTCAAAGCCTATTTTTGAGATTGATTTTTGTTTAAAAAAAAAGAAAAAAAAAGACAGACATGATTAACTATGAATTTATTTTTTTTTTATAAAAAGCACAATTACAATATTTGTATATATTTGTTAAATAATAGCAACTCAAATTATATCACTTAGCGTCCTCCATAGTATACTTTTAGTTAATTTTAAGAATATTTTAATGCGTTCTTGAATTAAAAAAAAAAATTTGAAAACTTAATTTTTTTTTTTTTTACTTTTGTTTATAAATACTAGTTGCACATTAAAATCCTGACATTTACCTCGATGAAGTCCCTCAGTGGACAAAATGCATTGGTAAAAGTTTTCCTTCTCTTTTTTTAGTCATACTGATTTTTTTACAAATATATCTGAATTTTTTTTTTTTTTTTTTTTTTTTTTTTTACACGCACACATACATATGTTTGTGTGTGTGTGTGTGTGTATATATATATATATCAAATTGCCAATTTGGCCCACCTTAATTTTCATCTCATTAGATTTACTTCTTACATATATATGTGTGTGTATATATATATATATATATATATATATATATATTATATATATATGAAAGAAGTAAATCTAATGAGATAATAATTAAAAAGGCGAAATCAACAATTTGATATATATATATATATATATATCAAATTGCATTTGGCTACCTTAATTTTTCATCTCATTAGATTTATTTACATATATATGTGTGTATATATATATGAAAGAAGTAAATCTAATGAGATAATAATTAAGGTAGGCCAAATAAATATATATATATATATATATATATATATATATATATATATATATATATATATATATGAAAGAAAGAAATCTAATGAGATAATAATTAAGACAGGCCAAATCGGCAATTTTTTTAATATAAATGCAAATGATTACAAGCAGGCCTTGCATGAAGAGATAATGAAAAGTTACAAAAAAAGCCCTGGAAAATGGCAGCACATTCAGGGCAAAATAATTGCAGAAGAATTATGCTACTGAGGATAGAATGGGCAAAATGACAAAAAAGGAAGAATTCAAAATTGTCAACAACCCCAAAAACAATTTCCCTAGTAATCCTAAACTCTGATAACTGAACCCTGTGAAGAACATAGAATTAATAAGAAAAAAAAAATCTTTGTAAGAGCCACTTGATGCATACTCAAAGCACTGGGAGTCAACCTATAGTGTAACCCAAAATAGAATACTGTAACACTATAGAATGGTTCAAAAGCATAAAATATAAAGAAGAACGCTTCTTCATGTGGAGGGACTGATTTTCCATTTCAAATTCACCTTAATTCTGCTTTTTTCCCATTTTCAGTATAGATTTCTCTTTTTGCTTCATTTTCATCCTTAGTAAGTGTTATGGTCCAATATCCTCGCACCACAGTTAAGGCCAAGTTTAACGTGGGTTTCCCGAGCCCATATGCTCAGCCAAAAATATACCCTTTGAACCTGCCTAGATGGGGTCAGGGCCTGTCTACCTCCCCGGACAAAACATTGCCCTTCGGCAAAGCTTTGTCCAGGTTCCTCTCTGCCAAAGCAAAGAGTTCAACAGACATGACCTGGTGCTGGTTGCACCATTCATTCATTATACCTCTTGAGAGGCGCAGTATTTATAATGTCAGGAAGAGTCCATTATCGTTATAGGTAAGTTTCCATAATAGTAAGCAAGTATAACAATATATACATGTTAAAACAAGAAAATAAAATTAGCAAATATCTGAAAAAATCTAATTCATAAAATTTGGCTTTCTGAAATGACAAATTGCACTGCTACCTTCGTCACCATGTTGGATAGGAAAAAGAAAGGATCAAACAGAAAGACAAAATTTTTGTTTTGTCCCTACCTTTTTTTTTTTTATTTAATCAAGCAAACTTTATAAAACTTGGTTCATAAATACTATAAACTGTAGGGGATGTATTGAAATATTACTGACTTTAAACTTTGATGTCCGTCAGACGAGTGTGTCAGAAAAGACAAATATGGTTACAAATAAAAATGGCAATTGGTATTTCTTATTGTTAGAAAAAAAAAATTGCCATCTCAAAATCATGATTTCTGTTTCAAGCAGGTCATTCCATTTTTCAGTTTTCATGAAAAATAAGTCCCCTATTCATGCAATTTGATATTATTGACATTTCCTCATCAGTTATGGAAAAATTAGTGAAAGGTGAGTTGGAATTGGCTGACTGGTTTTGTAATATAAGAGAAGAAGAAGAAACAGAAATTGTAACAAACGCCCATAAAGTGTCATTTCACAAAGACGAAATATGGGCAACAAAAAGCTGGATCTCAGCTTTGATATCACCATGGGGCATATGATTCCATGAAGGCTTGTAAATTGGTGAGTGTTTATTTGTTCTGGTGACTGAGCAACCTTTTCAACACCTATAATATGAACCTGTACAAAGACAATGGAATTGTGGTGCTAAGAAATACAAGTTCCATACAAATGGATATTATGAGGAAGGAACTATGCAAGTTCTTCAAAAGCCATAATTTAAAAGCATCCATAAAAAATAATATGATGGAAGTCAACATTTTGGATGTCACATTTAATATAAGAACAGGATTGTTTAGACCTTTTATTAGGAAAACAAGCAAAATCTTGTAGGTTACATCTTTACAAAACAATACAGGCAAGACCTGCAAAAACTTTAAAAAAAGTATCTATGAACACAAAAAGGATCTTATACACAACAGTTTATCAAATGGTTTAGCCATACATAGAAATAAATTCAACCACAACTTTGATCTAAAGAATATTAAAAGAGAAAGTAACTTAGAAGGAAAATTCTCGAGTGCTGCTATTGAATCATATCAAAATATAAATCTACACCCCTGATTTTTTTCAAATATCTCCTTTCCTTAAAGAATTACTTTTTTCCCAAGACAAAATACATGACTATATAGATGTTAAAATACTAAAAAAAAATGGTTAAATTTATAAACTCTTATTTAAAAAAAAAAAAAATTCAACATTATTTACTCATCTAAATAAATTATGGTGGAGGCTAAGTGACAAAATTATTTCACTTAGCATTCTTCATAATTTACCTAGACTTTTCAGTTAATTTGATGAATATTTATGTGTCTCTCTTAAATTTCAAAATTTTGAAAAATTAACATTTTTTTCTTTTGTTCATAAATTGTTGTTGCAAAATAAAATCCTTACATTTGTTTTGATAGTCTGTCAGAGGACAAAATGTGTCGGCTAAGATAAATTTTTATTTTTGTTAATGTGGAAGTGGTGAAAAGTTCTCAGCCTAACTAAGCCTATTCCCCTCTGAAAATTTTGATATTTTAGCCTTTGTTTAGGTTCAGAATTACAGGTGTGTCAGGCTAAGGACTTTTCATCACATGTGTGTGTGTGTGTGCATGTTAGTGATACATTAAGATTATGGTTTAACCTTAACCTTTTATATGTTTTACAGAAATTTCAGGTAAAAAGTTGGCCAAAAGAGAAATATGGGATGTTTTACGATGGAGATTCCTACATTGTTTTGAGTGTAAGTAGCATGTTGCCTCTTTCTCTTTGTTGTAATTTGATTAGATCTTTGGTTAAAATGAAGCAAAAATAAAAAGAGTCTGCTTCACCTTATGGCACTAAACTGGGCATGCTTGCTATGTATTAACAAATTTATCTGTGAATAAATGTGTCAATCCCACAAACATTTCTATGGATGAAGAGCTTCATTCAGTCTGATAAGTGCCACACATGATACATGCTCGGGTAATCATGAATTTAAGTGCAGTACTAGATTGGCAGGTAGGTCTCATAATTTCATTGCTGAAATTGCTAGTTCTAACCATAAGTTCTATGCTGATAATTTCTTCTCTTGCACTTCTCTCTTGTGGAACTCACTTCTGGTATTTTCTTTTCTGTCAATTATAATGTTCAAATGGAGTGTCTTGAGAAGTGTTCTTTTATTGTCCTTTCTGTTTCTTATACACTCAGTAACCCTTTGCATCTTTGTGGCTTTATTACATTTGCTTAGGATGAAAGGAAAAAAAATAGTGAAATATTAATTATTAAATTGTGTCTCTTTTGATTCATGACTGACTAGACAGAAGATTTTCCCACAGTAAACTGCTGTTTCTTTCTGTAGTAGACTGGTTGTCAACCAAAGCTACACAACCAATATTTCCGGCTATTTAACCCATAGCTGGGGGAGAAGTTATGGATTTATACATTTCCCAAGGGTATTTGCATGTAAGTGAATGCAATGAACCCAAACAGAATTTGAACTTGGCTCTCCAATTTCTCAGGCTCGTTATACATTACACCACCTGCACACACTTAGTCATTACTCTTTCAATATCTATAAGACAAAACATACATTATAACGGTAATAAGTATAATGTAGGGTGACCTTGATGATCTCTTAATATCTTCTATGTGCCATTCCCCTTCTGGATGTGGACTGTCATGACTCTCCACAACTTCCAGTCATTTGTAGCTCTAAGATTTGTGTTTTTTGTTCTCTCTCTCTCTTTCTCTCTCTCTCTCTAATCCCTGTTCTGCCAACCTAGCCTGTAAGCTAGGTTATTCACTGCTTTCCTCAGTCTTGCCTTCAATATGTCCTGTGAGTGTCAAATTCTCCAAGCCTACTTTTCTTATTATACACCCTAGAAATTTAAATTGTCTCTTTCTGAATCTAACTAGAAATATTCATTTTGTTTCTGGTGTAATGAATATGCATACACTGGGGTTCCCCCTCACAGTAATATGATTGGCTGGTGGAGGTACAAGTCCGACGCCTATTGTCTTCACCTATTGCCTATGCCTATTGCCTACCACTATGACAAGGACCAGTCCATTATGGTTACCTGCAAGATTGTCCTATTCAGTTATAATAGTCAAAAAACCACTTTGCTACTTTGAACAAATATATCCCTTTCTGGGACATATCAATTCTAAAACCAACTAATTTCTTAAAAAAAAAAAGCAATAGCAAGTTTTTTAAGACAGTAACAAAGAAAGTATACATATGAAAACAGGGTAACAGTCAAGTGATTATAACCTTCTCAGTCCAAGGCAAGAAAGAATAAAGTAAGACCATTTTTATAGACTAAGAAGAAATCCCAGCATGCATCTGTAAGATTTATCTATAAAAGTGGGGGACTTTTTAACAGGTGTTCCCAGAGATAGGAACCAACAAGGAACATAGAACGGTGAGACCTAAAGTCTAAAGTGATGAAACTAAAGAGTGGATCTGATCTGAACATTTACCATGGAAAATGTAATATAATTGACAGGCTTGCTATGTTGTATCTATGGTGAAAAGACATGATAATATCCATATCAGAAAACTCAATATCTGTTGACAACTTAAATTTTTCAATATATCATGCTTCTATTCTTCACTTAACTATTGTCTGTATCTTCTCATTCTTTCCCTTATCCTTTCCCATCTTCATTGTCTATCTATATTTCTATCTAAAATGTTATAAAAAAAAAAAAAGTCAGATTAAAACAATTTTCTACTGTGTTCTCTAAATCTTTTCCCAAAAGCTAAAATTTATCCAAGATGCTTATAAAATGAATGCATTTTAATTACTTGCTCACTCAGTCCAGAATTAATTTGGTTATTTTATGGCATTTATGTTTTCTTCTTTGTGTATGCCGGCATCCTTTTGATATTTATTAATTAATCATTGTGATGCTTTTATGCTAAAGATATTAGCTGTTTCCTTATAAGGAAACATTTGGCAATCATTGACTGAGCAGTGCTAATGCTGGTTGAAATTTACAAAGTCTTTCTCTGAAAACAATTTTTCAGGAATATAAGTTTCTCCTATCCAGTAACTGTAATCACTTTTCCCAGAACTGATGTGGGTTTCTTAAAATGAATGGTGATTCAAATACCTGTAGGCTTTGAAAGATTTTTTTTTTTTTTTTTTTTTTTAAGAATGTGCCATAAAACCCTAACTTCTTAAAATGTTAAATGGTAAAATTAGCTTTTTCTCTACAAGGAAACATTTGGAAGTCATTGAACAAGCAGCCAGTGCTGTTGTTGGTTGAAATTTATAAAATCTTTCTCTTCAAAGATTATTTCAGGAAAATAGGTTTCCTGTAGTTTAAATGAGTCGCTATTACTATGACATCACTTGTACAAATCAAGATTCAATTCACTGTTCTTGCTTTCTGCACACTTCACAACATAAATCCGAGTTTTCTTCTGCCATTTTCACTGCTTCAGCTCTCTTTCATCAGGCCAACACTGCGGTCAACCAACCAACCAACCAATCAGCGTTCTTCGCTTTTATTCTCAGTTACCCAGGCAAATAACCTCCTCCAGTTCAACCAATCAGCACACGACTTGCTATTGGTGGAAGCATGCCAAACTGTACAAAAAACTCTCATTACTACACATACTGCTAGAGTTGCTAGACAGGAGAGTAATGCCATTTTCACAGAGCAAAATTGCCGATGTCACATGCCACACATTAAGGTAAGACCCTTATTTTCCTCTGCACCAGATGCAAGCTACTCTGGCTCGCTTGCTTCTATGGGGCTGTTCACCATATTTCCCAAAGTCCACTATCTGTTAGCACTCTTTCTAGTATTAATGGCATCTTTCTTTGTAACCTTTTGTTTACATTAGTGCAGAACATCAGTATTATGATTGTCATTATTTTCCTTTTGTATTACATTTGCTATCTATTTTAGTTGAGGCTCTTGTTGAAAATCGTCAAATGATATGGTTTCTCTTATTTGGTACAGTTCTTTGTTTGGGATCATGTAGCACCTGACCATGAAGTTCAAAGAAGGATGGACTCACTAAAAACCATTTTCTCCATAGATCTGAAAAAAGTATGTCTACAGCTAACATTTAGATATTTCTGAATTGGGTTATGACAAACACAGACCACAAGGAAAAATTATACATATTTAAAAAAAAACAAAAAAAAAACTATTTAAACACTTTGAAATTTTGCAGATTTTGACAATCATCTATTATCACATGACTCTGCTCTTCTCTCCTCTCATACTTTACTGTATCTTCCCATTCTTACCCTTATACATTCCAATCTTCATTGTCTGTCCAGGTTTTATCAATATATAATATAAACCTGGATTAATTTCATATGTGAAAAAAGAGTAATGAATGCACAACAATTTTGACAGGATCTTCTCTTTTTATCTTTTTGTTCAGTCTCCTGATAAATAATTTCAATGCCTTGCAATTCTTACACCTTTTCATCTCTACCTTTCCCTCATTGTCTCTTAACATCCAGCCAGAAAACCTGTATCTCTGCTTTTAACTATTAAAATGCTTGGAAATTCAGCCATCCATTTTCTCATGCCTCTCCTTTTTTTCGCCCTCTGCTGTATCATCGCATTCTTTCCCTTATCCTTTCCATTCTTCATTATCCATCCATGTTTTATCTAAACTTGGCTCTCTGTGTTGTGCCAGAAAGTTTTTCACGTCTGAGTCCATACTTCAAATCTATGAATCAACCATCTGTCCTTGCATGGAATATTGCTGTTGTGTATGGTCTGGTGCTCCCGCTGTACATCTCAAGGTCTTTGACAAAATCCAGAGACGAATATGCAATGTTATAGGTCCTGATCTGGCATCTACTCTACAATCACTTTCCCACAGATGTGCTGTGACTTCCCTCTGTCTCTTCAAGTATTTTGACAGCAATTGTTCTGACGAGCTACTATCGCTGGTTCCCAGGCTGCATGAATTTAAGCAAGCTACCAGGCTGTCATCTCGGTCCTACCCATTCACTGTCAAAATGGTTAAATGTAACTGTCTCTTCTAATCAAACAGCTTCTTCTCCCACTCTTCTCGTCTGTGGAACCCCATTCTCCTTACATGCTTTCTCAATGATTATAATCTTCAAATATTCAAGTGTAATGTCAATCGACATCTGACTCTCTAAGTTGTTCCACATCCTTCTCTGTATCCTTTCCTCAAACACACCTCTTTACTCTTGTTCTCAATCCTCTGTAACCCCATGTGTGCTAGTGGCACTCCTGTCTTGCTTGGGGTGAATTGCCTAAAAAAAATATTTCATATGCAAAGAAAGGGATAAAGAATGCATAAATATTTTTTCACTTTCTTCCCTTTTAGGATTCTTTCACTCTATCTCTGCATTTCAAATTTTAATGTATTGCAATTTTCATGTCTTTCTGTATCTACGAAACTTTCAACCTTACGGTTATTATCTGTTGATATTGAGCCAGTAAACCTGTCTTATGTCCCTATTCCTTTGCCATTACTATAAGGGATGCTGAAAGTTATTACACTGACAAAGACGACCTTCCCCACACCCAAAGAAATTTAATCTTTAGTCATTTAGCCAGATTTTGGAGAAGTGGGTTATGCTAGAAACTTTTCAGTACCCTAATTGTGATGTATATTTTAACTTTTTCTTTTCATTTTTCTATAGATTTCTTAATCATTATTTGCCTCCTTCCTGTCACCTTTTTCCACCTCTCCCATTCTTGTCTACTTTATTCCCCCAGCTTCTCTCATTCCTGTTCTCTTTACTCCTCCTTCTCTCTTTCTTGTTTTTATTCACCCTCTCTTTCTTGTCCTCTTTATTCTCCTCCTCTCTCTTTCTTGTCCTCTTTATTCTCCTCCTCTCTCTTTCTTGTCCTCTTTATTCTCCTCCTCTCTCTTTCTTGTCCTCTTTATTCTCCTCCTCTCTCTTTCTTGTCCTCTTTATTCTCCTCCTCTCTCTTTCTTGTCCCCTTTATTCTCTCTCTTTCTTGTCCCCTTTATTCTCTCTTTCTTGTCCCCTTTATTCTCCTTCTCTCTCTTTCTTGTCCTCTTTTCTCCCCCTCTCCTCTCCTCTTTTTCTCTCGTCCTCCTTTTCTCTTCTCTCCCTTTCTCTTCTCTCTCTCGTGTTCTCTATATTTTCTTTCCTCTCTCTTCCTTCTGCCTCTCTCCTTATTGCTTTCTTCCCCTACCCTGCAACTCTCCTTCTAGCCTTCATATTATAATGTAGGTTTTTTGTTTGGAAATGTGTTCAAATGTTTGAGCAGATACTACATTTTCTTCTTTGGTAGCAAAACATAACAGCCAATCATAGTAAAAACAACTAAAATAATAGGATAGATACTTGGTCAGAAAGTGTAACTGATTTCAACTCTGAGAATTGGACTGGTACTACATTTTGATCATTTCACTAACAAAAAGAATAATAGCATAAATTGTAAAACAGAAAACATGTGATTCCATCTCGGAAAAGTGAGGCGATTAAGCAGAAACAACACACTGATCAAAGGTAGAAAAGCAAGAGATAGAAAAGTATAATGGTCATATATACCAACAACCCGAATACTAGTATAGCTTCTCAGTGGGTAGATACTACACTTTGATCCTATTTTTGAAAAAAAATGTTTGTATATGCAAACAAGTCTGATTTTGATGAATTTTTTTTTTTGTTTGATAGATAATTCTCCAGTGCCAGTTTTGAGTCCAAATTGGCTGGAAAAAATTACAACCTTGAAGGTGAAAATTGAAAAAACTGATTTTTTACACTTTGTGCAAAAATCAAAGGCATAATTTAATGTCTGTAAAAAACAGTATGCAATCAATTTAGAGAGTTGAAATCTAGCACAAAAGAAAAGATTTTTAGAATTATAAAAAATTATATCATAAATAAAAATTCTTGTATATTATTATGATGATGGTCCATGGAAGAGGTTCCTCCCTTGCAAGAATGAGAATGAAAAACGTCCTTTTCAGGGTCACCACCCATTCAAATTGTTAACCCCCCATTTGGGGATGTGCCTCAGTTGCACTCAATTGTTGTTACTAATATTGATTTTCAGGTGGGCTGACTTTAAACTCAACTGCTCCAACTGAATGGCAAAATTTCCAGTAATGAAAGACCTGGCCAAAGATGGGTTATACTGCTAGTAAGTTATAAATCAGATGTGTCAGACATGATGAGACAGAATCTGGGACGAGCACAACTGGTTGCGACTTGCCTTGTCCCCCACCAAAAAAAGAGCCCATATTTGCTTAGCATGTAAAGCTACTGCAGTTGAAATGAGGGAGAAAAAAGCACTTACCGCTCTGCCATAATCCGTCCTCGGCCAGATAACGTAAAAGAATGAGGGGGGAACTTGCATTGCATTTTTATGCAATAAAGATGCAATGCATTATGGGACAGGGATGCAATGAATTATGGGATCGCATGAAGACACAAGGGATTATGGGTATATGGACAAATATAAAAGCAACTAATTTTTCCCAGTGGGGGGTGGGGTTCTTGAGTGACGCCCACGGTTGGCGGTGGAAAAGTCTGTTAGTGCGATTTTGAGACAGAACTCAAGTAATAAAATAAAATAAACAATATATATATATATATATATATATATTTATATATATATATATATATATATGATAATCAGTATCTTCAGGCCATGTGTTTTGGTTTTTTGCTTGACTATTTATATATGCTGGTTAGTGGTGCATTATGGGTATTAAGGTCTATGACTGTTATAGGGTGACTGGAATTGTAATTCACCTCTCTTATTTCCAATTGCAAGCCATTATCCATTACACCACTTGTATATCCAAGTGGTCACCAATCTAGATACTGACCAGGTTCAACATTGCTTAACTTCAGTGATTATATGGCAACCAGTATTTCTAAATGATATGACTGTAAGCACAGTTAGTAAAAGAAGTGTCGTTAAAAGTAATTAAGCTTGACAGCAAGGATGCAGCATCAGCCATTGCAGAAGAGGCAATAAGAACATTATAAGGCGGCTTGAATTTCTAGCTTCAGGATCATCCCAGATTATTTGGGAATTTGATGTTATTGTAATTGGGAGTTCAATCCCCAGGCTCGGTAGTACAAAGTCAGGCTTACTTGAAACAAGACTAGCAATAAGTGACCAGAAGAAGAACAAGACATTTCTAGAGTCAAATAATGGAATGAAAACTATCTGTCTGTAGATTGCCAATATTTGTTTCTATTTCTTTTCTTATCAGAATTCTTCGTGGAGGTGTCATGAGCGGCTTCCGTCATGTTGAAGAAGAAACATATGAAACAAGATTGCTGCACTTCTGTGGAACAAGAAAAGTTATTGAAATTAAAGAGGTCAGTGCATATTTACTAAGATGAAACAAGTCAATTCTAAGGCATTTATTAGTTATTTGGCTTTTCTTCCTATCAGGTTATCCAGAAAGTCCTGACTCTCTTCAGAAGCGGAAAGAAAACAACAAAATTTTATGGAACAATACAACATTTATTTTTCAAAATAAAGTCCATCATTCTTTGTGATCTTCTGTCAGTGATCAGCCAGCATCCGAATCTGTCTCAGATACCATTCCACTGGCTTTAAATCAAAAAACAGTAAATAAGCTTCCTTCACTTCATCAAAAGTGTTGAATCACTGGTTGTGGAGGAAGTGTGCCATTGAGTGTAATCGGCCATAGTCATTCAGAGCAGCTTCAGGACTGAATGATGAATGTGGAAGAATCTCAACACTGTCCATCTGTTTGAACCTCTCCTTAGTCAAGCTGCCGTGTGTGGCCTCACATTGTCTTGCTGAAACAAAGCCCAACCTTGAATGACCAAAGTAGGATACTTCTTCTTTAGTTTGTCACACACACGATCTAACTGCTGCCAATACAGTCTAGCATTAATGGTGCAACTATATGGAACAGGCTTGAAATATAATACCCGTTGGAAATTCCACCAGCCAGAGATCAAAATTTGTTGTTTTCTTTCTGCTTCCAAAGTGAGTCAAGACATTATGGTCAACCTCATATATCCAGTAAATGTCTGTGTGATTTCTAGTGTTGTCCTTTTTTTGTCCACTTTAAGTAAAAGCCCTTTGATAGGGCTGTTTTTAAGCCATTGAAACCATTGTTCAACAGTTAGGTTCCACAGTAATCAACTGATATGTGACACTGCGGCTGGCTGTGCATAGACTTATTTCTTAGTAATTATGATGGACCGAATACGTGAGCAATGACAAAGTTTTAGAGAAGATGGAAATAAAAACAAAACATATTTCACATCTGAAAGAGACAGTTGTATTTCTAGGGCATAGGAAAGTGGGCTTGGAGAATCTGATACTCACAGGACAGATTGAAGAAGGACAGAAGAAAACAGCGTTTAACTTAGTGAGCTTGAGTAAATGGATGGTGGAACAGTGTTTAAGGGAAATAACAAAACAACAAAATTTATTAAGAGCTACAAAGGATAGGAAATTGTGGAGAGTCATAATCACAAATGTCCTGAAGGGACACGGCACATAGAAGAAGAAGAATGAGCTTGAGTAAATGGATGGCTGATCAAGGTTTAGGAGAGATAACAAAAAGACAAAGTTTATTAAGAGCTACAAAGGAGAAGAAATTGTGGAGAGCCATGATCACCAACATTCTGAGGGGACAAAGCACATAGAAGAAGAAGAAGAATGAGCTTGAGTAAATGGCAGAACAAGGTTTAGGAGAGATAACAAAAAGACAAAATATATTAAGAGCTACAAAGGAGAAGAAGTTGTGGAGAGTCATGAGCGCCAACGTCCTGAAGGGACATGGCACATAGAAGAAGAAGAATGAGTTTGGGTAAATAGATGGTAGAACAAGGTTTAGGAGAGATAACAAAAAGATATATTAAGAGCTACAAAAGACAAGAAGTTGTGGAGAGCCATGATCGCCAACGTCCTGAAGGGACATGGCACATAGAAGAAAAAGAATGAGTTTGAGGAAATTGATAGTCGAACAAGGTTTAGGGGAGATAACAAAAAGGCAAAATTTATTAAGTGCTATAAAGGACAGGAAATTGGGGAGAGCCATGATTGCTTATGTCCTGAAGTGGTATTGCCAGTAATAAAGTAATTTAATATAGTGAGTCTTATCAACTTTGGTTTTTGTTTGAGTGTAATGAGCATCTCTGAAGCCGATCCTCAACTCTTGTGTGTGTGTTGTCGCCAAGCACACCTTGGAGTACCATAATGGACTCGACCGAGGACTGAGAAAGCAAAGACACATCGGTCGCTTATGTCTTTCTTGGGCGACAAAAGCCATTGCAGTGGGTCGTCTCTGTCGGCAGCAGTCTTGGGTGCCATTTTGCTCGCTTAAGGTTGTAAAGTGTTCGTTCAGAAGAGAAGGTGTTCGCTTCAGGTTTGCCAAGAAGGCGCGCTTTTGTGTCGCAAGAAATTGTTTTTTTGTTGTTTTATTTTTCCCCTCGTTATCTCGCACAAGCTATTTCGGCATTATGGCCTTCGACCTGAAGCTGATACCACTGTTTGACAGAAGCAATTCTGGACAGTCGGGTAGGAATGGTTGGAGAAGGTGGAACTAATATGTCAGTTGAGCGGTGTGGGCGAATTGAGTGTTTATCCCATGCGCTTGACAGGTGGTGCATATGCTGTGTACCAGCAATTGAGTGAGGAGAAGCGGCAGACTTCAATTGCATTAAGAAAGCGCCATACACAGCTTTAAGCCTAAAAGATCCCTTCTCCGCATGGAAGCAGTTTGCAGCATGTCACCTTTCAGCCAGGGAGACGGTTGGCGTCTTTTTACAGAACTGTGCAGACTCATGGTTCTGTTTGGTGGCGATCAGAAAAGTGTTTGCAGTGTACATTCGTTGCTGATTGCCTGAGCATGCAGAGGAGCTTTTTAAGAGCGTCATCCCAGATGGAAGACCTGGATTTGTCACATGTGCTGGTACGAGCTCACACTATTTTGAAGAAGTGTACTGGCCCTACAGAGCAGGCTGCAGTGGCTGCACAGTTGAAGGAAACAGATGTGCACACGAGGTGTCTCCTGGGTCGTGAACCATCCAAAGGTGTTGGTACCAAGCACCGACGGACCATCACTTGCTATTGATGTTATCAGCAAGGGCACATTGCTCAGTGTTGTCCGGGAAACGGGCAAGGGGGCGAGAATTTAGCGCCAATCTCCTCCCCAAAACTCTTATAAATGGTGCATTGCCTGTAGTGACAGTTCATATCAATGGAATACCACGTATAGC